ACATCTTGTACCTTTTGGAAAATGCAATGGCTAAGGTATTCTGATTAAATCCTTGTTGTTGTTGTTTTTGTAAATTTTATTTGAGTTTTCAAAAAGAGAAAAAAATACAAATAAAACATCTTTTTTGAAATTAGTGTAATCCCGGGTTACATTTCTTCGTACAGACACAAGTTCAGATTCATGCTCATTTTTATATTCTATTCCATATCTTATTACTATTTTACATTTTCTGCATAGCTTCTCCCCTCTTTTAATTTTCTCAATTTTATTTTAATTATCTCATCTCAATTCAAATCATTGTATTTATTTTTTTTGCCTGTCCTGTTTCAATTATCTATTATCTTTTCTCATTAAACAAAATTTCTCCTGTAGTTACTGATTGGAGTATGACGCCTTTATATCTTTTCCCTAAAGTTGTAACATTCAATTTAATACAAAACAACATTCCATTCCAATTCAATTCTATCATTAATATTAATATTCATTAAAGCCTTAACATCTTTAACATTACTTTTCAATTAAATATCATACTTCTATGGGAACAATTATAAGCTTTCCATAGTTAATTCCCCCCCCCCCTCTTCACTTATATTTTATAAAACTTCCGGTTTGAGTTCCTTCGGCGACAGACAGAAATCCGCGATTGTGCGAGGTTTCTGTCTGGGCTCGCCGCTGGAACACCCCAAGCCAGCTGATTTCGGGGCTAAGCCGCCCCGTAGAGGTGGTGAAGAGGGGGGAGACTGCCAGCAGGGTTGAGGAGAGCCGCATCTCTCCTCCTCAGCTGGCCATTACTCCCTTTCCTGAAGGCGGTTGCAGCGGTGGTCAGAAATGGCCACCTCAAAGAAGAACTTGGCCGGAAAAGAATGTGCAGGAGGAAGATAAGAAGTGAAAGTTTTGGCTGACCGGGTTAAATTGTAAAAGCAACAACTAAGGTACCCTGGAATTTAAACTTACAAAAAATAACATCACTCCCAAAGAAGAGTCGGAAGCAGCGAAGGAAAGTGAAAAGGGAAAGGTTTGGCTTTTTTTCCCTTCTCTCTCCTTCCCTATACTGACAACTAAGAGACTTAAATAAGAAATCAGAAAAATCCGCTTTGACATCAATAGGCAATTAAGCTGAAAATAAAACAAAATGCCAAAGGGATAATAAAGATTTCTGGACATTAAAATTTTTCTTTTTCATAAGCAGGAAGGGAGAGAAAAAGAATAAGGGCAGGATCTGGAAGAGGGAGGAGACTGCCTGGAATTAAAAAGAATCTACAGTAAAACTTCAACAAGACTTCTAAAAGATACATTTTAACTGAAACTTTGCAACTAAATAGTAACCCCAGGAAGAGAAAGTGAAAAAAAAAGAGCAAAAAAGAAACAGCTTGCGTGTATTTGGATTATTTGGTGATCTTTGGATTCTTGGTTATTACATTTGGATGACTAAAATTAATTGGGTGGTTGTTTAAAAATTTATACAATGGCACTACTTCTGGATGAATTGAAAATGGAACTTAAAAAGTACAAAGAAGATGCACAAGAAGGGAAGGGTTCTTTTGGCTTCGTTTTTCAATTCTTAGAAATGGAGATTTGGAACTATGAGAAATAACAAGAAAAGACTGCAAAACAAGAAGACTGGGACAAAGAAGAAGCCATCTTTAATGAACAAGCAATTTTATGTGGGGAAGAAAAAGGAAAGGGGGGAAAGAGAATGGAGAATTTAAGACTAAAAAAAACAACCAAAGAAAAGAAAAATAATTTGAAAAATAAGTATAATACTGGAAAGCAACAGAAGAGGGGAATACAGAAGAGAGAAATAGAGGTAGAGAGACAAGGGGGTAAAAAGGGGAGAGAGAAGAAGAGAGGGAAGAAGGAAAGGAAAAGAAGTTACAAAGGTCCGGAGCAAGATATAGAGAAACATGACCTATTTAGAGATAATGGGTGAAAATCTAACTGAAAAAGGGATTCTGTAAAGGTACATAAGATTGTATTGTTATATTAGTAATAGAAATAACTTTAGAAAATTGGAAACAATGTATGATTAAAATGAGGAATAAAATAGTGTAATTTAGTGAAATGTCTGTGAATAAAATAAGTGAAATAAAATAAATGAGAAAATTGAATTAGGAATGAACAGGAACATTTTAATTAATGTTTTATAAAATATAAGTGATTAAATCCTTGTTGAACTCTCTGTGGAAAGGGAGTTCCCAAAATTTATGTGCAGTTTAATTACCAGACACTTGGTCAATATTGCCCTATCATATTGGAAGAATGCTGTGTTATGCTACGACACTACGATTAGTGCCAATGGTACTCCACCTATGTCTTGCCATAGACATATCTATACATGCAGCTCTTTCCCAATCAGGTGTATGTTTGCTGAGTTCATTTAGCAAATTTTCCCCTATGAGATCATTTTTTTCCAATCTGATGTCTTTTAGAATATGACTGCACCCAGAATTAAGGAAATTATGGAAGTCGCAGTCTCAAAACTAGAGGGCATCAGCATGGAGCTTGTATCTAATATCTTACCATTGTGGCTCAGACTATTGTCTCTTATGAGAAATCCTCTCCTTTAAATTTCAACCAAAATATAGCTTGTCTAAATAACTTTAGACAGGTCTTTAATGTTCAGATTCCTTACTGCCACGATACTATCCTGTCTTGCAATGAGGCCACTTAACTATTATAAAGGAGATGCTATTAATATTTAAGATGAGCTATATAAATAGTAGGTATCATGGTGAGGCATATGTCTTTAGAAAACAGCTGGGAATTGTGCTACTTTCCACAAGTCACACTTTCATAGTAGGTGCTGTCTAAAGCATGCTTTTGGAAAATGTGTTTATTCTAGTTGAACTGGTTTATACTAAAAGGGAACCAGAGTGGCCAGATAACAATGAACCACTGGTTTCCCTTGTCTTCAGTGGCATGCATTCCTCTGAACCATAATACAATACACATTGTTTCACAGTGCCTGCCTTCTCTTACTCAGCAATTGCTCTAGACTCTCCCAGGTCTCAGTGAAGTGAGTAATATCCCTTAAGGAAGACCTGATTACAACATGGGACCTAAATCCAAGTGCAGGAATGCAGCCAAAGGTGTGTTGCTTCAAAAGGCACATGGCATTCAATGAAACTCTTGAGCAGACAGCATGGAACATATTAAAGTGGGGGGTAGGCAACCTATGATGCTTTTTGGACTACAATTCTTACATCCTCTTGTCATTAGCCAGGATACTGGGGTTGATGGCAGTTCATATCAAAAATATCTGAGTGTTATTAGGTTGGCTACAACTATATCACACCACTGCAGAGAGAATAAAATAGCTCCTTCATTTTCATTTATTTTTTAAAAAGGGAAGTTAGTATTCTCCAGATATGCTGAGTTCAACTCCAACTATTATTTCACTAGCACATCAGGAAGACAAAAGGCAGAGGAGTTGCTTTTAAGACAGTAATGTTGCCTAGGAAGAAGGGGAAGCATCGTTTGCCTGCAAACCAGGAAATAGCCGCTCAGCTTTTGATGAGGTACAGTTTGAAAATTCCATATATCATACCTTACTCTTAGAATAAATACACATCTTGATCCTGGTTTGTCTTTTCATCAGGGTTTCTCAACCTCAACATCTTTAAGATGGTTGAATTTCAGCTCCCAGAACTTTCCAGCCAGCATACTTTAAGATTATGGGTGATGATGAAAGCTGCTTTAGATTAAGAATAAATCCCTGTAAACATCATTTTAAACGCCACTTTCAGAGAAGCCAAATTAGCATAACACAGCATTTGATGTCCATAACCCAGAAATTCATTCATTTCCTCCAGATGCTCTACCATTCCACAATCACTGTGATATTGGTCAGGATTATAGACTTGAAGTATAAAGCTCATGGATGCTACAATACTGTTACCCAAAAGAGCTATGGATATGGGGATCTCTAGTTAGACTGCTACTTTCATCACCAGCCAACCTGAGGGGATTTGGAATTCAACAAATTTTGGAGGAACGTTTGATGCTCAATCTCGTTTAATAGAGATGCAACACCCCCATTTCCATTTGAGCACTGTTTCGACAGCATGACTGGCAGCACAAAACTTGGGTATGTGTGTGAGTAATGATCAAAAACATTATCAAAAAGCACCAGTGATTTTTCAAAACGGGATGATGTTTGCTACTCGAAAGAGGAAAAACTCGGGAGAAAACGGCCGCATTGGAGAAGGTCCATTCTTATTCTGAAAAAAATCCCCGAACAAAAATTCTTTTTTCATTTCAGTATCTTTTGCCAACCCTACTTTAGCAGTCAATTGTGGTGAGGGCGAGCGAGCAGAGCTTCTTATCACACATCACGTTAAAGCATCTCGTTTTTCATGGATACTTCCCCTTTTCCCTATGTGTATGCTTAAACTTCAACAACTTTAATCTCTCCGGCCAAGCAGGCGCGAGAAAAATATTAAGCAAAGTCACTGCTTAGAGGTGTAGCGTGACCAAAAACTGCGCAAGCGCAAAAAAAATAAAAATACCCTGTACAGGGGAAACTACAATTCCCTGCCACCCTTGCGTTCAAGTCCTGTGAAGAAGCCCAATGCAATGTGCCCGCTCTTGCGGCAGCATTAGTAGAAAGTGTGTCACTGGGACACGAGGCTCTCCCTAGGAGTCACATGGTGGATGTTCCTGAGCCGCGTGCTGGTGTCTGCGCAGCTGCAAGGAGAGAGTGAGCTTTGGTAGATTAACATTTTGCAGGCGAAGGGAGAGGCAGCGGCATAATCGAGCTCCTGGCTGGCGTGAGAGAATCTTTTGCACGCGCAGCCAAGCTCCAATTCTTTCCAATCCGAGTGCCGGTGCAAATTACGAAGTTTAAAGAAGCAAGTCTCCATCATCCCGTGCAAGCTGAGGTTCTTTTGCATTGCAACATAACTTTGGGCAGGGGGGAAAAAAGGAAGAGGAGGGGGAAGAGAGCCCTTTGCTTTCCTCCCTCCTCACCAATCGAATCTCAACTTGCATCGCCGCTTGATATGAATGACAACTATCAGCTGAACAGGATGGCAACTTTGGATGACAACAACAATGCCCCAGGTAAGCCCCTGCTTTTCATCTGTCGGATTCCCATGTCGATTTTATTTCCCTGTACTTAAAATACCGGTGATTTTAACCCTCCTCATTCGCACACTTACCTTTGATACCCTTTTGTGTAGGACAAAGTCCACTCTCGGTGCTCAGTCTCCTCCGATATGTTTTAGTTTGTGCACCAGCACCCCAGCTAAACGAAGTCTATGTTTAATCAGCGTAAGTTGAAAGGATAGGCAGGGGTCACCCACACCCACCCACACAAATAGGGCGATTTTGTACGAAGTTATTATGAACTGCACTAACTGTACATAGGATAAAGGAGCCTTTCCGAACCGCCATACCACAGAATATATTTTAGGAAGTGGGAGGAAAGTCCGGAGAAAAATCGCTGCTACCCTGTTCTCGTCTCCAGGTCAAAGATCGTTTAATTTGCCACACGTGCACTGTGGCTCCCTCTTGGGGATCGGTAAAAAGGGAAGTAAAGTTTAGATACCAGTTTTAAGGGAGGAGATCAACCTCCTCCTAAGGAGAGAAAAGGGCAGAGCCCAGGACTTAGGTCACTAATCGTCGCAGGGCGACGCCCTTTCTTGTCCTTTGAATTGAGGGGCAGATGGCGAATGGGGGCAATCCGGAAGAGAAGGGAGACTTTTTGTTTTCCTGTTGCGCCTCGCAATTATTTTTCAGTGAACTTTCCTCTGGGAGAGTCAGGAAATTCGTAATTTCTCTCGATATTCCCATCTCGCCGTTGTGCTTATCGTCCTGAGATATCACTCTCAGGGATCTTCCCCTCCTCGACGTTTGAAATCGCGTTGCCCCCTATGGCATCCCACCCTTATTTTGGGATTCCCCTATCCAGAGTCTCACGTGTCCTGTGTTCAGACTCGGCCACGTGCAAAGTTTGTTTTCCTCACCAGGCCCGCCCCTACCATCCATTGGCCTATCCCGCCTCAATTACATCTTTAAGCCACGCCTGTTTTTGAACGTCAACATTCAGGAAGAAACAGTTCCCTTTCTCCTCCCTCCTGGGCGGGCGTTTGGGTGGCCTTTGCTGGTGGGTGGAGGAGGAATGGGAACCAATGGAGAGCAAGGGGAAGGGCAAAGCGTGAGGGGCAGAGCTGGGACAAGGGAGGAGGGCAGGGGGTCCATGTGCGGACGGGACACGTTGGGGAGACTCGTCCGACCTGCCAAGCTTATTGTCGTGTCTCCTATTCATTAAACTGAGCGAGGAACGGCTCTTAAGATCTTTGGGACATATGAAAATTTTGGTTAGGTCATGAGGCCTGCCCAAATGCCAACTGCGTGAGTGGAACCTGCATCTTGGGATGTGCCCAAGATAAACTAAACATTAAGTAATGCAAGCATCCCAACCCTTGAACCTCTTCCATTCTGGTGGTTTATCTCCATTTTATTCCGAGACTAATCTGTCCCCACCATCACCACTAACCACACTTGATGGCAGCTCCTAGCTAACCTTGATAAATAGTATATAAGAGGCTGACAGGAATTACCTGGATTGTAGTCTGGATAGGGAAGTTAAAAACACACAAACACACACTCTCTTATGTATTTTTGAAGAAGACACTGATTAGCTGCTGTGAAGCTGCCAAGGAAAGTTTATGAACATAACTGCAAGTAGCTGAACTTGATGCAACATCTGATGTTGCATTTGTTTTAAGGTAATGGTGTCATCACAGTACAAGAGAAATTGAGGGGGCTTCCTCAGTTATCCATATTGCTGGATTGTACATTTCTTTAGAAATAAACCCACTGGGATTGGGATTATCCACACCCCATATACTTGCACTGGTATGTGTTGGGGCTTGGATTTCTTCGTGAAAGTGGTTTGTACGTGGATGCTTTAGTTTGGGGTTAATAAACATCAGTATAACAGCAAATATTTTTTCTACAAACTTTACTCAACCTGTTTTTTGCAACTAAATTTGAGCCTGTTCTTAGCCACAAAAATGGTTAAAGCACTGGTTTAGTGTTTATTCCATCACACCACAGGGATCTTTCATATAACATTAATAAACATATTAATCTGTTTCAATAAGTGATCAAATTCTCCTCTTTCTGCACTGTTGATGTCTTTATATCCAAAGAGCTCTTATGCAATTTTATTACAAGCAGTCCATTGAGTAGTGTCCTCATGAAGCGAACAAATTGACAAACTCTAGCTTTGTATCTAAGACTAACATGTTGGCAATGCTCCAATATTATCCATAGCCACTCCCGAGCCTCCACTTGGGTAAACTAGTGGCATATATTGCAAACAGACATGACACACCTTTCCCTTCTTCAGACCCATTTGGAAGTTTTCCAGCTTGATGTGCTCGTAACTTTCAGTGCTGTCTTGTGCCTTCAAGCATTATTTATTCTCTATGACTCACCTGGGATGGTCTGTTTTAATATTCCTGGGAGGGACAGCTGCACATGTACATAGTTTCCTCCACTGGGATTCCCCGCTCCACCCTTCATGGTGTGAACTGGCAGGTTTTCAAACCCTGCTGCTTACCTGTTAAAAAATAGGGAAGTAAGATTGTTGTAAAAGAGGGCAGAAGCAGAGGAGAAAAAGGGCCTGAGCCTACAATTTGGCAGTAGCTCTCTTAGATCCAAATGAGAGACAAGATGACGAAGATATTTGCCTTAACCAGCCAAAAGAGTTGGCTGCTTTCCAGGTCCCTGCAGCCCAGTAGTTCTTAATTGAACTAGATGCTGTAATTTAAACTATCTTCATCCTTGTTTGTCCTTGGTACTTTCCTGGTCATTATGTTTAAATTCAGAGATTGACAAAAGTTCCAGATTAATACTGGGCTGCATGACATTTGGAGCAGTCTAAGCTGGGAATAGTGAAATTGCTTCTTGAATGTTTGTTGTCTTTTAAGTTACTGAGAATTTCCTTTGGCTGCAGTACTGTAATTGGTGCTTTTTTTCTGGTAAGGAATGTCATTCATAAGCTACTCCCCCCCCCACTTTTTTTTTTGGGGGGGGTGTCTTCAGATTCCAGTTGACACCTAGATTGCCATTTTTATTTTCTGAAGCTGCAGAAGGAAAAAGAGATCTCATTTCCTCACTTACTCTCATTGAAACCTAATTTCTGTAGAACAAGTGGTGAATTAGTGCATAAGCAGGTTATCTCTGGCTCATTTAATAGGGAGAAAAAGGTCCCTTATACTGTAATGTAAGAGGTAGAAATGAATGAAAGGATTTGGGGACATTATCCCATTTCTTTAACCCTCATCCTGATCTTCCCTGTTGTCTAAGAAGATTAAGTTCTAGGTTAGAAGCTGCAATCTCAACAGGATCAGAAGCCATCTTCCAAATGTACAGAAGATTAGAGGATAGTTACTAGAGATCCTTTTTTAACCCAGCAGGTATCTGAGAGCATAAAGGAATGTTTCTTTTTGGGGGGGGGGGGGGGGGGGAGAGAATGCCTGGAATGGGTTGATATTATCCATAACACTAGAACTGGAGGGGTGTTGTTGTTTCAGGTTCAGGAAATTTAGTAATGCAGGAAGCGTACCAAATAAAAAGAATGCAATTTCTAAAAGATGCCTGGGCATTTTTTATTTTTATTTTTGCAGGAAAGTATTACAGAGTTGTATTTTTTTCCTTTCCTTCTGGAGAAGGATTCTTCACTCTAGCCCCTTTTTGGGGTGGAAAATATTTTGTAGGGGCAGTTGGGGTGATAAGTATCTACGATAATAAAAGAGTAGCATAAGGTTAGAAGACCTTAGCTAGGAGATCTTGTCTTGCTTAAGGCTGGTGACATCTTAACCTTTTTGATAGGATGTGATAGCCATACGGAGCAGCCAAGCATGATTGGCAAGTTCTAGCAGTTCAGATATTTTGGGACTGCAGACCCAGAAATCCCTGCCAAGACCTCAGTTTGGGAAAGGCTAGATTAATCCATGCCATCGTCTTCCCTGTTGGCAAAGATTGCTTTTGGATTGCCAGCCATAACTGGTATTGTTTCAGCTTCACCCAAGCAAGTTGTCCCAACTCTTGGGTTCCACCTAATAACTGAGCTGGCGGGAATAAAGCTTGGCTGTCCCAGTCAAGACTGGCTTGTTGTCAAAGGCCCTACCTGGGTACTGAATGTGCTTCTCCCACGTGATCTTGTTTATAAGCCTTCTGGCATGTATGATTTTGTTTTTGTTGCTCCAAGATTCCTTGGCAGTAATATTTGCCTCCTGGCAAGTGGCCCGGTTCTGAAACCTTGAGTCTTTTTTTTAATCACCAGGTTCCCATTTTAACTGATCTTTTGGATTTTTTTTAAAAAGAAATAATTATTTTGGCTTCCACCTGTTTTTCAGTGAAGTTTTGGCTGCCTGTTTCATTGCTACAAGTTGTTTGCTTTTCCTTTATTCCATCCCATTTGCAGCCTAAGATATAGGTCAACATCTGAAAGCAGAAAGAATTGGGTTGCAAAATAAATATGGTAATTTTGGTGAGATGAGTTCAGAGCTTGCAGCTAGGAAATAAACTTGTTTTATCCAGACGTGTTTGGGAAGAAAAGTCTGCCATATACTTCGCATAGACTGCTTTGTTTTCTTACTCCTAGTTTATTTACACTAGTGTTGTACTCCCATTCCGGTCCAGTTTTTGCAAATGCTTTCTAGAATACGGACATGATGTTCCCATTCACTGTTCTGCCACATTTTACGCAAGTTGCTTGTCCATATTGTAAACTGATCACTAATTGCCACCTTTTTTTTTTTTTGTATATGATGATTCACCCAAATAGTATGGTATGAGAGGCATATAGGAAACACATATTGTAGTTGCAGGTGATGAGAGTTGACATACCTTTCTTAAAGTATCATGTTAATTAGAGATTACTCTTGATAATCAAAAATGCTTCTGTATTCCCAGATAAAACCCTTGAAACTCAGTTGATTCAGTAAATAAGAAACAAGGAAAAATCACCATAAAAATTTAAAGTTTGGAAGGTATCTGGGGGCCATCTAATCTAAATGTCTACTGCAAGAATCTTACTAACGCATCCTTGAATGGTGGGCATGTTAGTCCTCTAGACATTTGTTTATCTGGCTGAGATAGAATGTAAAGTATTCTTATGGAATTCTTGCCTGACATACATGACTCAGTAGATCTAGGTTGCTAGCTGTATATGAAATAGGGAAACAATTTAATCCCAAATCAATCCTCTGATATATGTGAGAAGCTTAGTGTTATTACCCTTAGCAGCTTGCTAAGTCTTCAGCTATTTGCTCACTAAGCATTTCTTGAACCACATTGCCTCTGCTAGTATAATAAATGAAACATTTTCTTTACTACATTCAGAAATGTATAAATCTCTCTTATGTCCTATTTTAATAGTGTTTTCCAAAGATAAAAATCAGCATTTGTCAAGGTATTTCCATCTCTCTTCTTTCTCCTTTCCTTTCTCTTCTGCATTTTTAAAACCTGTCTCTTTGGTCATTCTTCCCTAACCTGAACTCTCCTAATGTGCAAGAATGTCCCTTCCCAGAATTCCCAGCCTAAATGACTAGAGGTATTTTGGGGTCAGGCCAGAACCTCAGGTTTAGCTCCAATTTTTTTTTAAAAAAAATATTGAGGACCGAGATTAGTCTTCACCTAGATGGCATGTTAGAGACATACAGTTAACTGACAGAAACAATCAGTTGAGAGACTATTCAAGTGCTCTAAGGTAAGAGAGACTAACATAAATTTCTTTTTTTTCTCTTTATGCAGGTGGTGTGATCAGTTACATTGGTTCAAATGGATCTTCCCCAAGCCGCACCAGTCCCATCTCTTTATGTGGCAGTGACAGTTTGAATGGCAGCTGCCAACTGTTTTCCCACCCAACTTTTCCCAACTACTTCCCACCTTCGCCCACTGGATCTCTGGTGCAGGATTCTGGACGCTTCTACGGGGGTAGTTCGGCTGGACTTGGCGATGATGCCTCCCCGTCGTTGTCGTCTTCCTCCTCTTCCTCCAGCTCTGGAGGTTCTCCAGTGGGACTCCAAGTGACCTTGGATGATGGGAGGCGTGTCTCCCCTATCAAAAGCACCAGCATCACGAGTGAGTGATGAACTGGAAAGCTGCGCTTTGGGGGATGGGATCAGATTGAGGATGATGAGGTGAGCATGGATTTGAGAGTGAGTGTTGAGATGACCACACTTCACAGGATAGTTGTGGGCTCACAGGTTCCACCAACTACCGACTGTTTTGGCAGACTCTGGGATATTCAGGTACTTCAATCTATCAGTGTTGCCTTTCTGACAACATTGATTCCAGCTGTGTTCCTCAAAAACAACAATGTGCATCCAATGTGTGAAAGCTCGCCAGTGTTGAAGAGGCTGAAGTTGTAGAATTGTGAATCCAGTCTTCAAACAAAGCATCTCATAGCCTTTGTCTTTCTTTCTTCTTCAGAACTCAATGGGATGGTCCTTCTATGTAAAGTTTGTGGTGATGTTGCTTCCGGCTTCCATTATGGTGTCCATGCCTGTGAAGGCTGCAAGGTAAAGTTTTTACCTCCGCATACTTAGACATTCCAATACTTTTGAACAAGGAGAAAATATGTCTTTTTTCACATAAATGAATCTATGAGAAAATATCATTTTGTAAGTCTTTGATGAGATCGAGAGCTGCTTGTGAGCATAGTAGCACTTTTGAGCATGTTATGCTCTAGAGATCCGGTCTGTCTATTGATTGCTATTAGTGACATCAAAGATTTATAGTGTGATTTGATTACTTACCTGCTCTTCTATTAGAACTGCCTCAGAGTTGACTGCTTGAGGCTCTCCATCCAGGTGCACTGATACTTAATAGTGGCATTCCAAGCTATATTATTTGAGGATAATGAAACCTGTCAGCATTTCTAGATGCCATAGCTGCAAGAATACCTTAGATAGTGACATGCAGTTAAGCAGAGCATAAGATTCTTCTGCAGTCAATTCTGCTTCAACTATAAAAATATTTTAATAAAAATGCAATGCACTATTTTTAGAGACTCTTACTTGCAATTACTATGGAGAAAAGACCTTTGTGTCAGACTTTATGGAGGTAAATAGCAAATGTAGTTCTTTTCTCCTCTCAGATTTACACTATAGACTAAGGTTTCTGAACCTTAGCAACTTTAAGACTTGAAAGCAACTTTCAATTTTCAACTTTCAATTAATATGGAGAATTTGGGGAGTTAAAATTCAGCAGTCTTAAAGTTGCCATGGTTGAGATTGCTCTAGACTTTTATAAGCTATTGAGGTTCCTACCCTTTTTTTCTTAGAGCCACGCACATAGCAGAATTGTTGGGTGAAAAAGAATACACTTGATAATTTTTACACCAAAAGCACTTGCAGTTACACACTGCTTCACAATTTCAAGAGGGGTGTATTGAAACACACACCCTAAGAATTAACAGTCAGACTTAGCTGCTCACTGTTCAGGTTAAATAAAATACCTGTCCCTCACAACTGCAGGGTTTCTTTCGGCGCAGCATTCAGCAGAACATCCAATACAAAAAGTGCCTGAAAAATGAAACTTGCAGCATCGTCCGCATCAACCGGAATCGTTGCCAGCAGTGTCGCTTTAAGAAGTGTCTGAGGGTTGGCATGTCTCGTGATGGTGAGTTCCTGCAGCAGGAAATTAAGAGATCTCGGGAAGAGCAACAATCTAGTTTTCTGTAAACCTTTTGGTGGGCTCTCAGGGTGATCTCAGAAGATCTGAGACCAAAGGGTAAATCATATGCACTACAATACAGAGGTTTTGGGTTGTCTTCCATCTGTAATTCTTCTGATCTACTCTTTGGTTCTTGGCTTTTGAGAAGCCCCTAAAAGGTCCGAGGGAGAGCTCTTGCATGGTGCACTTGGACAGCATTGCTGAAGGGTTTGGGGAAAGTTATGTCGGGGGTGGTTGTTTTTTTGGACAGAGCAAATGTTTCAGTCTTGTAGAATTTATTTGCTTGCTAGCATAGATTGTTCTCTAAAAGGAGGACTAAGCACATTTGGACCTGGTTGGAGAATGGCTAGGAAATCCCAGAAATTTATGTTGAAAAAGTAAAACGGAAGCAATGGCAAGCTACTTTGTATAATTGCAATGATGACAATGATATATGCCACTTAACATAAGCAATTCAATATGTGTGAAATCTCCAGATTTCCACTGAATAGTTTATCCTGCTATTGTCTCATTTGTCAGCAAAAGGAAAAGCATGATGTGTGGGCATAAGGCACACAGGCTTTTTCCTGGGCTCCATCAATGGAAAGTCTTTGAAGATGAAGTTTACCCTATCCCTGCTTCACTTTCTGGGCTTTTTGTAAGAGTTTGTGCTTTTAAGAAAAGCCATGGATTAGATTGCAGTTTTAAAAATATCTATGTTGACCCTTGGATTCCACAGGAATATTTCATGTATTGTCATCTATTTTTCTGCATCCTGTGCAGCTGTACGATTTGGGCGCATCCCCAAGCGTGAGAAGCAAAGGATGTTGGCTGAGATGCAGAGTGCAATGAACAACATGGCTAATAACCAACTGAGTGCACAGTGCCTCCCTGAGAATCTGCCCACAGGACACTCGCAGTCCAGTGCCCTCTTGCTGGGCCACCAGTCTCAACTGGCACCTTCTTCCCCACCATCCTGTGCAGCTTCCCCACCCCAGATTTCTCCTTGCTTCTCCCAGTTTTCTCAGCAGCTGACACCTCCACGATCCCCAAGCCCCGGAGATGTCATGGAGGATGTAATCGCACAAGTGGCTAAAGCCCACAAAGAAATTTTTGTTTATGCCCATGACAAACTGGCTACAGGGCCCCAACCACCCACAGGGAGTAACAGTTCTCCTAGTTGGGACAACAACTGGTTGAGTAATGGCTACCGCACCAATGGGCTGCATCTTCAAAACGACAATTGGAACACTGGCTCTGCCTCTCGTCCCGCTTGCCACCAGAATATCCATGGACATAGGTTTTGTCCCTCTGGGGAAGCAGACCTCTCCCTTAGGCAAGGCAAAACCAGATTCTTGGTAAGTGTTACTTTGCCATGGAAGTTCTCATTTGCCTTTCAAATTCAGTTGTTGCTAAATTGTTTTCCTGCTGCTGCTGCTGGTGGTTGGGTTTAATGTGGCCTGAAAATCAAGAACTTCCCTGGGGTGGGAATGAAATTCAAATCAAGATAGTTATGTTTATCTTAGCTGTTTGGTTAATTATTCACCATGTGATTTGGGTGTATTTTTGTCTCCACTGTTTTATGTTCTGGATACTTATTTATTAAAACTGGATTAGTTGTTCTGGTACCTTAAAGAGAAGTTGCTTATTTACCTAAGGAAGAGTATTTGTTTTCTCTTCTGTTCTTGAAGCTTTCTGTTTCAAGAAAAATCTGTTCTGCAGATTTTCTTTTTATTTCATAAATGATTGTGGACCATTTACCAAACAATAACTGCAATGTTTTTTAGAATGAAAAATAATACCCACCATTTGCAGTAGCGTTCAGTAATTTTTCAGAGCCTTTTGACCTCTGTTTGAATGAAGGTCAGAGAATTTGCCCCAGTAAAAACCTTGGGTGTGCAATCAGATTGCCCCAATTTAGGAGGTGTCTGCCAAAAATATTGGCAGATGTTCAACTGTAGGCATGGAATGTATTGAAAATCCTCAGTATTTCACTGTGGTTGCACGATTATTACGTGAAAGCAGAGCTTTCATGTTTTTTTTTTTTTTATAAAAAAAAAGCAACAAGGAAATCAAAATTTGCTAAGATTTTATTTAAGAATGTACATAACAATTAGCAGGTAAGAAAGGAAAAGTTTTTTTTTCTTAGAATGGAAAAAATGTATGCAAACAGCCAAAAATGGTGCTTAGAAGCTTTCTTTTTTGCTGGCTTACCTATTTCCAACCACTTAAATCCATACCCTTGTTTGTCCTTACATGACTATTTCCCCTCCCAACAGGCCTGCCCAGTGAATTGTCATCCTCATGGTTATAGTGGCCGCACATTTCAGGAGATTTGGGAGGATTTCTCACTGAGCTTTGTGTCAGCTGTACGAGAAGTTGTGGAATTTGCTAAACACATTCCGGGATTTCAGGAGCTGTCACAACACGACCAAGTCTCACTACTCAAAGCTGGCACATTTGAGGTAGGAAAATTTCCACCTACACTTAGATCCTCCTTAGTCACAAGCTATTAATATTCTGTGCCGGGAAATACTTTTTCCCAAAAACCTACTGCGCATTTGTAAACAGTGCAGAACAAAGGTTGTTTTTAAATCCCATCGCAAATTTCCATCTTTTTTTTTTATAGTACTGAGAAAGCATTGGAAAGACATTATATGTTGGCATTTTTCTTAAATATAAATTAATTAGAAATAATTAAAGATTGTTGTCAGGACAGTCTGCTTCTGGGAGGCTGTAATCTAGCCACACCAAGAGCAAAATAAGTACTTTGAAAAACCAGGAAAAGAATTTGGGCTGAAATTCTGACAAATCGTTTTTGAGATCTTTGAAAGAAGAACAACCACCTTGTGATTTGATCCTTAGCATGCTTTTTGCAAATTAATAGTGGAGAAAAGGGTTAGGGCTAATCCTTACCAACATGACTGCAGGTTGTGGGATTGTTTGTGCAAACTCAGCAGTATCAGAAATGGTCTTTTTGTATCTTCATTTCATCTATACTGCAAACGAGTGGCTTTTGTGGCACGCCACCTTTGCCTTTTAATGAGTTCCTATGGATGCCACTGGTCCTGGTGTTACTATGTAAATGTTTTCCAATGTCACTACATATTTATTGACATTATAGTCAAACCTTTATGACTTCAAAATAAAATTAAGCCGTCAACATAGTTCGTACCAATTTGGCAGATATGTTTTACTGGGAATGTGGATATTTATATACATAGCGGAGAAAGCTAAAAGTAACTTCATGCTTTAGCCCATGAGATTATCATATTTCTCAAGCTTATGCTATGATAGAGAGTTTGCATTAGATTCTTTAATCCATTGGCTTTGGAAGCATCTTGGAAGATTCTTGGCAGGAAACTCGAGTATTGTAAAATGGTGAGTTACATCCTAAAACTTGTATTCATGGAAAACTTGGTCACAGCATTGAATTAAGACCTTTGTGAAGCTGTGTGTGAGTGTGTGTAAGCCTCCATTTTTCTTCTCAAGCAGTCATATTGATGGGCTTTTTAAAGCAGTGAAAGACATCAAGTGATTGATATAGTAAGATTCTTCATTTGATTCTTCATGGACGGCACAAATTGCAATTATAATCCTTCCTAAATTGTAATTATAATCTCAAAAGTATGGAGATGTTTCTTATGTCACTTTGGTGTTTTTTAAAAAAATGCTTTTGACCAGTGTTTGTGGGAGCATATTATATTCTGAAAGCTCTTTTTATCTTTTCTCTCCAACCCTAGGTGCTGATGGTTCGGTTCGCCTCCCTTTTCAATGTCAAGGAGCAGACTGTAACATTCATGAGCCGCACAAAGTACAACCTTGAAGAGTTGTGGGGGATGGGCATGGACGACTTGTTAACATCCATGTTTGAGTTCAGTGAGAAGCTTAGTGCCTTGCAACTATCTGAAGAAGAACTGGGCCTCTTCACAGCAGTGGTGCTTATCTCTGCAGGCAAGTATCCGTTGACCTAGATTGGTTTGGTCCCAGCATACCTTGTTCTCATTCATTTGCTGTCCTTGCCAATGGCTTCCATACCTCCAGATTTGTGATTCTTCGCTACCCAATGTAACTAACCCCCAGCTCCCTCACACAAATCTTTTTAAAGTCCCTGCCTTCCAAATACTAGAAACCTTGTAGGTGTAACTGAAATTCTCCATATTCTTCTTCAATACCAGCAGCTCTCCCTCCAACATTACATTTTAGCAAAACCTTTTGTTTGTTGTGAAGATGCATGGCGATGGTTCTTTAGAAATAATAGCCAACTATATTTCAAGGATTGTGATCTGCAGGTCATCTCTGGCATGATTTTCTCTTACAATTGGGCATTCCTGTGACCTGGAGGGAGGCTAGACATTTCTGATATACTGCAGTCTGGACTCTGGTTTTATGTAGTTCTTTTGCAGCCTTCCTCTGCAGTACTTACTGTCCATTCCTCTCCATGTAGATCGCTCAGGCATTGAGAACCCAGCATCAGTGGAACAGCTGCAGGAAACTCTGATCCGAGCACTGCGAGCTCTCATCCTCAAGAATCACCCCCAGGAGACATCCCGCTTTACTAAATTGCTCTTGAAGCTGCCTGATCTGCGCACCCTCAACATGCACTCCGAAAAGCTGCTTTCCTTCCGCATTGAGGCTCAGTAGAAGATAGTGCGGGCAGAAATACTGCGAGTCCAGGCTCCTGACCAATTCTCCCTGCTTTATTGCACTAACCAGACTATTTTGAGCCTGGACCTGGCTATCTATTTATGTGAGTGTAGCAGCTGCTCCTACTGCCTGCTCAGATACAAACAGCACAACCGCCTTTGTAAATATATCCTTGTATATTGGAACTGTGTGAAGAGAATACCCCTCTCTTCCAGGCTGTGGTGCCAACTTCAGGAGAAAAATACAATGAAAGCAAACTGTCTGGGTGGTTGTTCTTCCTCCTTTTGTTCACTTGTTGCTCTCCTAAGTCAAAACTACTGTGGGGATTGGGATCAAGTGTGGCATGATCCTTGGCTGCTACCAGAAGGAAAGCAAGTCTTAGATAGAGGCAGGTAACTGGAGCCCCATTGGCTTTTTCTAGGGAGGGTGGGTGATGTGGTCTGAAGTCCTGTAAAAGCCACTAGGTGAATTTAGGTTCACCTGCCTTATTTATTCCTTAAAATGTTCATCTTTTCCTTTCTGGTGTAGGAGACCTATGAGTCCCTTTGTGATAGGGCAAAATTATTTTGAAATAATGTCCCTTGTCAATAGAAATGCAAGGGAAATAACTAAGCCACCGTCTTTGAAATACTCCTGTCTAGCAGAAAGAAAAAAGGCATGATCACCCATCCTCAGATTAAATTTAAATAAAATGAGGTTTTCTGTCAATTAGCCTCTTTTTCCATGGCCTGAATGCTTGATAAACTTTCTGTGTATAGGGGAACTGAAGTTTTACCATTAAGACAGGCTTTGATGGGTAAAATGGTAGAACAAAACAATTGCGGAACAGATTTCAGCCCAACCTTGTACTCAGTTTTAGCAGTTAAAAGAAAGGATGTTATGCCAGCTACCATTTACCAGAAATGAAACACCAAAAGTCAGCTGGGGCTGTGAGTTTTTTTTGTCTTTGTTTAAGGGTAGGTTTGTTTGTTTTTTAATCATATATTTATTACATAAATATATAGTAAAATAGACCGGCAACAATTACCATAAAAATATCTTTCTTTAAAATCCTGACCAAAAACACAAAAAGGGTTATTTTTTTTCCCCTGCCCCAGACTTGTCAGGGTTATTTTTTTTTTTCAAAATCGCACGTCACAGACAAATTGTGATTGTCGTATTTTTTACATCAGCAGCTTCCTGCTTCCCAGATGCAAAAAAAAGGAAAAGGAAAGGAAGAAAAACAGAAACAGAAAAAGAAAAAAAGACAATAAGGGAGAGGGAGGGAAAAGGGATGAGGCAGAGGGAATACTTCACCCACCTGGTTTTTCCTTCCCTCTGAACTCTTTCCCCACCAACCCAACCCCCCCCCCTTCCGAAAACCCCATCTCCCAAATGTACATTCACTAATTCCCTGCTCACAGTTTCTTTCCCTGCTCTGGACTGCGAGGGGAAAACCACGATGCATAGTATATTGGGGTTTAAGTATAAAGTTAAGCACAAAGTTGCTTCCTTATTGGAAACTCCTTTCTATTTTTCCATAATCTTTTACGATAATCTGGATTCAAAATTTTAAAATAAAAACCCTTTCAGAAAGAAAAGACAGACTGGCTGGGGTGATGGTGAAAAAGGTAGTGGGATACCATTTATAGGACTGCATGAGGTATGTATTGGCAAAGAAATACTGAGAGGAGGTGTGGGAATAATAATCAGTTTCTCTCCCCCCCACCCCCCACGGTCTATAACGTGAAAAAAACCTGCTTCTTACCCATAGTCATTAAGTGCCCTACATGGATGGAGGAAGGAACTTTGGGGCATTGTGCCCTGAGAAGCAACACCTTTACTACAGATTGCAAAGGATTTTGCTTCTCCAAGAAGGGTGGCTCCCACCCGCATAGAAATGGCACGGCATACAAAGGGAGGTGGGAGAGATACTGTCTTCCTTGCACTGAACTCTGGGCAAAATGTGAGCGTGGCATGATAGGGAAAATGACACCTGAGATGGCCAAGTATCAAAGTATGAAGTATCGTGGGAGGGATTCACATCCTGAGATCTTCACATGACATTAAGGTTAAACTATGACCCAGGCAGCAGCCTATGTGTCCTACTCCAGATGACATAAGATGGATGACAGTGCCACAGTGGACATAAGATGGATGACAGTGCCCTCTATAGGTAAATGGGCACATAGGAATAAAGTCAGAGGCCTTCTTTCTCCATTAGCAGCTTTCTTGCATATATAAATCTCTAGTACAAAGGAGGAGGGGAGAAAAAAGCAAATTCTACCTTTCTGCATTCAAACTCCTTAAACAAAAGCTATTTCAGCTCCCACTAGGAGGTGGTGTTATATATGTGCTGGTGATGGAGAGAAGAGAGAGTTTTAAATGAGAACTACAATCCAGATCCTAAAAAAATTTACAGGTAGTACTTGACTTACGGCCATTCATTTAGTGACCATTTGAAGTTACAATGGTGTTGAAAAAAGTGACTTATGGCAGTCCTTGATCTGATAATTGCTGCTGCCAGTATGCCTGCAGTCATGTAATCACAACTTTGGTTCTCGGCAACTTGTGATTGTTGCAGCACACCCTGGGATCATGTAACTGCCTTGTCATCTTCCCAGTTGATTTGAGACAAGCAAAATCATCAGGGGAAGTCAGATTTGCTTAACAGTTGAATGATTCAGGTGATGACAGCAGCAAAAAGATAATAAAAATCAAGTGTGACTTGCTTAATGACTGTATCACTTAGTGACAAGTTTCAGTCCCAATTGTGGTCTTAAGTTGAGGACTATCTCTGCCATTTTAAAAGCTTAAGGGGTGCAAAAGCATTCATTCCTCACAGCTGACGACGTGATGTTGGCCAGGCTGAAAAGGTTTACTTTGGCTATAATGTCTTAGTCTTACCAATCAAGTAATCCCTGTGAAAAAGCCTCTTGTAAGACACAACCAAATGAAGCTATTACTTGATCGTACTCCATAGGTGTGGATTGAAACTATAAAGTCTGAATTAGCCTAGTGTTATAAATTCTAGCTGAAGCGATAATCTGTGCTAGTTCATTCACAAACTATTGCTATCTAACAATAATGCTATCCTACAAGCCATTATCATATAAATGTCAACCGGATCACCATCCAAGCTTCATGGTCTCAAAAGAGGAAAAATCATTTTCTTAATTTTAAATACCCCAGGCTTGGCTTTCTATCTTAAGAAAAAAACCCAAAAGCCTAGCTTCTCAAATTATTTAAGGAAATACAGAATTTAAACAGCCTGCTAGGCAAGAACAACGAAGGGTTCATAACTCTATAGTGGGCGCTAAGCTGAAATCACAGAAATGTTTCTAATTGGATAGGCCATCTCTCATTCCTTTCAGAGTCTCAAAGGGACAACCAAACACATCAACGAAAGTAGTATAATTAGCCAAGTCAAATAAACTAAAACAAATAGCTGACATCTCTGTCTCCCCCTATGCTGCCTTCCATTTGAGACTTTGGAAGGAGACTGCATGTATGTAGAGCAAAAGTGCAGGTGGAGTTTACACTTCATATATATAGGATATCAGTGCACTGTTGAAATAACTATACTTATTAAATATAGATGCTCTAGATGAAGTCAAGCAGGAGGTTCTGCACAAACTCCCTGAAATGAATGAGCAGTCCCACTGGTTTCAGGTAGTGTCTAGAAGCTGTTCCTTTTCATATATTCACACCTAAATAAGTTTAGGCTCCTTAATCCAATATAATACAATTTGTGACTATTTTCTCAGGACTATAAAGCCGATCTTACATCTTGAAGTTCAGTATGTGTGGGAAATTCATAGAGTACCAAAATACTATTTTATAGAGGCTGTACTATTTGATATAAGGCAATGGGGAATTATTATCCTCCCTCCCCTCCTCTCTGATAAATCAGGGGCATCTTTACATGCTTTGTAGATTTCAAGGATAAGATGTTCCAGTTACACCTTTTCAAGGCAGAACTAGTTTCCAAGTTGGGTTATATATAAAATATTTACAGAAGTACAAATGCTGAACAGACTGTTCACTTGATTGATGTGTGAAAGTGTGTCCTTGCTGGCAACTTACAGAATATTGTTAAGGCTTCTAGAAAGATGAGTGTAGAGAACTGACCTCAAGATGGGGCACTGGGGCTTGAATGGTACTTCAGCTGCCATGACAAGATGGGGGGATATGAGACATTACTGAAGTGAGGCCAAATGACAAACATGTTTGAGACAGAAACAAACAAGAATGGGGAAAATGAGGTAAGGTTAACAGTGAGAAGGAAAACGTTTGCAAACATACAGAAACACATTTAGGATATACCTCAACTCTGCCACAAGTGCTTGGCAGAATAGTTTGAACCCAGAGAATAGGCAAGGCTCAGTACTTCTAGCTTTTAGGTATATTCAGCCAGGCACAGCAGGAATATAATCTTAGTATGGGAAAGAACAAACAGGGAATGCAGAACCGGCATGATAAAAGCAGAGACACACTGGCATGTGTGTATGAGATAGGGACCTTTTCGTAGAGAAACAAATTTGTACTAGATATGTTTGTACCTCTTAAAAATATTAAAATACATACAGAATTTGTTAGCTTAAAACCACAAGATTAGACACCCATACATCTGAGATAATTTACACTGCAGATTCACAAGTGCCTCATTTTCATTATTACACAAGTAAAACATACACATTTAGACACGAGCCAATGCTGATAGGGTGTTAGGAACTCATCTGGGATCACCATAAACCAGAGTGTATCTTTCTCATATACCAGGAAGATGTTTATGTAGGAACACCACCAACTGTCAGAATAACATACCCATTGAGATTAAAAAAAAAAATACACATGTGACCAGCTCTGGCCTCAGCAGGGTCTCCTGGCAGCACCACAATGTCTAAACTGTTTCACGACCTGTGCCTTTGCTCAATCTACAAGTGCAGAATAACTTGCCTTTGGATGGCATTCATTTTTCTTATGCTGTCCAAGTTTTTTTTTAAAAAGAAGAAGAATCTGTTAGGGCCCTGGGCTGGCAAAGAGGATGCTGTACCTACTGTATAGTACATATAGTAC